TTGGGAACCAGTAATTACAAATGAAGTTGACATCTTTCACTTTTGCCCAAAGGCAAATAATAATGCTGTCCCAAATAAAAAAATCTAAGCTCCTACAGGCTCCAGTCATGTCAATAAGTCCAGAAAAGGCAGCCCAGTAACAGCAGTCTTAAGGGTGTGTATGTTATGGGAGAGGGTATCCTAACTCTAATTGATGCTCAGTTAGCTAAACATAAGACATATAGCAAAAATTTAACTTCCTGACTATCACGGCGCGGGTTCGAGCCCCGGTGTTACCAACCGGCAGTGGTCGGCAACTTTTTCAGAGTAGCGCACAATTGGCCATTGCGCTACAGGGATGCAAATTGGCAAGGGTCTGCCGGGAAGGGCAATATAACATGGTTCCGTTGTTCATTGCTTAGGCGCCTCCTGTTGGCCAGCCGGGCGCTCGTCAGGAAGATTCTAAGCTTGTTCATGTTCGGGTATCCTCCGCCCTTGTTCTGAACTTGCAAGGATTCAACCAATGAGTGCGTAAGAAGCAGTAGGCTGACAGGTTTGCAGCAAGGGGTTGCATATGAGCAAGTATTGTACATAGTTCCCCAGTTGGGCATTCCAGATTCCGGTGGGATTGGAGATGGCAAATTTTTAAAAAAAAAAAAAAAAAAAAAAAATTAACTTCCAGGCTTCTGCAAGTTTGATCTGCCATAAAAGGGAGGGCTTACATGTACAATTAAGACCAAAGCTGGGGCTGCTAAAAATCTTGTACAATTTTTCATCTCTGGATGACATAAATTGTTGTTCACATATGTCTTAATTTCATTAACTGGATGAACACAAGACAAATTGCCATGTACTTTGCTTTCACCTAAAACGAGCTTCAGTGACCATTTGTGTTCACAATTGTCTTATTTACAAATGCAGTACCCGTCTGAAATTTTTGAAGACTTTACTTGTATTCGTTTTCATATCTACTAAAATACAACGCCATTTCCAGAAAATTTGGGACAGTCTGTGAAATGTAAATAAAAACAGAATGAAATAATTTGCAAATCATTTAACCTCTTAAGCCCTGAGCCTTTGGCTCGAAAATGACATGCCCAAAATAAAATGAGTACATCTCTGCAACTACTTGGTCCATTTGAATAATCTTGGTATGATAATAAAGGTAATATCTTGGGGATTTTTCTCATGGTGTATATGTATCACTGTGTCAGTATATGTGTCACTGAGTCAGCGTAAATGAAGGTGGAACACAGCATAAATTAAAGATCTTATTTTCACCAAACAAAATTTTACTTTAATCCCTTTTGAAATGATTTAAGTTGCAGTCTGAAACCTGTAAAAAATTACAGCATTGAATCTCACCATTTTATCTATGCCACAGTTTATTCTAATCAAGTGAATCAGAGCAAAGTTAGGGAGGTTTTAGTTCTAGAATGTCCAGGTGGGATTTCCAAATTGGCCATCGGTACACACTATGGGCATTGTGTGCCATTGGAGGTTTCTCAGCTACCAAACTATAAAACCAATTTAATTTCACTTATATGTCACAACAGGAATACAGTTCATATAATTACTATTACTTTTTACTATATACTATTACTATTATTTTTTATTTTTAAATTTTTTAAAATTATTTTTTATTGCAACCAGTCCTGTATACATTTTCCCATTCAAAGAAAATACATACAAAGGAAATGAAGTTCGACTCCACTGGATCAGATTTATTTTCAAAAATAGGACCAAGGGTCCTGTAGGTTACCGGCAAGCAGTCTTATAGTGATGATACAAGTTATTAAAATTTCATGTGAAGTTTGACATCTGAATCAATGAAAATCAATGTCAAGGCCACAAATGAAAGTTCATACATTTATATGAATAATATAAATTTTGTACAAACTAATACAAACACAATCTTAAGCTCTGTAGCAGTTTTGGTGATAAAAGTCATGGAAAATTCAATAGGTCAATTATTTGTCCCACAGGTGATTAAAGGTCACCAGAACGCTTCCCTGAAATGTTGTGGTCCCACTTAGTGAAAATGGACTTCATATACAGTCTGATCATTTCCGTAATATCTAAAATGTTCTCTATACAAAGGCGAAAACCAACACTTGCCCGCTCAATCTGTGACCATTTTGGTGATACAAGTCATTGTAATTTCACTGTCCAGTTTGACCCTCTAAGGTCACTGATACTCAAGCTGAATGACACCAAATGAAAGTTCATATGTGACTTACTATACATCTCCAACACAAACCTAGACTCAATCTGTAACGATTTTGCTGATGCAAGTCATTGAAATTTCACTGTATAGTTTGGCCGTTGAAGGTCACTGAAGGTCAAGTTCAAGGTCACCCAATGAAACTTCGTACTTGACTTCCTATATGCCCACAATACAAACCTATGCTCTATCTGCAATAGTTTTGGTGATGGAAGTCATTGAAATTTTACTATGTGAAGTTTGACCTTCGAAGGTCACCGAAGGTCAAGTTCAAGACCACCAAATGAAAGTTCATGTAGGACTTCCTATACATCTCCAATACAAACCAACACTTTATCTGTAACGATTTTGCTGATATCAGTCATTGAAATTTCACTGTATAGTTTGGCCGTTGAAGGTCACTGAGAGTCAAGTTCAATGTCACCAAATGAAACTTCATACATGACTTCCCTTATGCCCACATTACAAACCTAAGCTCTATCTGTAATAATTTTGGTGATAGAAGTCATTGAAATTTCACTATGTGAAGTTTGACCTTCGAAGGTCAAGTTCAAGGCCACCAAATGGAAGTTCATATGACTTCCTATAAGTGTTCAATACACATATGTTCCCAATCTTCAATATTTTCCCCAATCTTCAATATTTTCAAGCCTAGAAGCCTTGAAAAGTGTAACATTTTGCTTGACCTCAAGTTTGACCTTTCATGGTCATCTGAGGTCAACTTTAAAAGAGCCAAAATATAGCTCATATATAACTTTCTATATGTCAGTAATACAAACTTAATCTCGATCTGCAACCATTTAGCTTCCACAATCCACAGGCGATTTTGCCCATTCTCCATAAGACCCAATGTTAAAGTTCAGCGCCCCCACTAGACCCACTTCCGTCGATTCAATCAAAATGGCACTCGCACTGTACATTGACGGTACTAAGCTAAGTTGATTGCCTGATTTATCACGTAGTTTTGGAGAAATAATTTTTAAAAAATTCTCAGTCCTATCATCGTGAGTTGATTGCCAGATTTAGATAAAATTTAGTCATCTTTTAACATTGTCAATATTTTCCCTGACCTCGAGTTTGACCTTTCAAAGTCATCTGTGGTCAAATTTATTATTGCCAAAATATAGGTCATATATGACTTCCCATATGTCGATAATACAAACTTAATCTCTGTCTGCAACCATTTGGCCGCCACAGGCCATCTTGCATATTCATAAAGTACAGCGCCCCCACTAGACCCACTTCCGTCCATTCAATCAAAATGGCGCTCGCACTGTACATTGATGGTACTAAGGTAAGTTGATTGCCTGATTTAGAAAAAAAATTGTCACATAGTTTTTGAGAAATTATTTTTTAAAAATTCTCAGTCCTATCTTTAACGTTGGGGCCAAAATTTCAAGGGCCCATAAAAAGGACAAAAATGATTCAATCAAAAATTAAAAAAAAAAAAAAGTCTGGAGATATGGTTTAGTAGTATGCTATCGTAAATTTACACGAAAATTCATTAAGCCAAAAAAAAAAAAAAAGGATAAAAAATGTTCCGGACAACAGACGCCACACCACGACAATAGCTTATTGGCCCATAGGCCCAAATAAACAGAACTATAAATACGAAGATAAGGTATTAAAAAAAAGGGTAAAAAAAATAATAAAAACAACGGGCACCCCGCAATTATTCACACAAGAACTATGCTTCTGCTGCTCAAAAAAAGACAACTTCAGTAGGGATTTGAATCCAGGTCACCTGGCCCTGCGTGCAGCACCTTAGCCACAAAGCTACCTGGTTAGACAAGCTGCCCGCACTCACATTGTAATTCTAAACAGTGAGTCAGAAAAACACGTCATGAACCCTGGTTTCGCCCTTGTATCGCAGCACTGTCTAAGTACTTGCGCATAACGGCGCAAGGATTCTCAGTCAGACACAACTGTGAAGACTACTTTAAAAACGACTGTTGAATATTTTGTGGACAATTATAGCGATATTACTCTCAGGAAACCGGTTTTGTGACTGTATTGCTGCCTTTATTCCTGCACACTTAGAGTACATGTGCGCACAGGCGCATGGTCTCTCAATTAGACACATTGAGAACGCAAGGGTCTATCTCAGGCTAAGTTTGTGTGATGACAGTGGTTGGGGGCTTGTTGGAAATGTCAGAGCCCATAGAATCAAATGGCCATCCCCGGCATCACAAGCAAATCACAGAGAAGAAAATACACGCGTGCAGGGGCAATGATCAGGGCCTGCCCTCATTGGAAGCAGTGGCACAGAAAAAAAAACGTGCATGGAGACTGGCAGAGACTGGCAGTTTCAATATAACACGGAAACATTGGTCTAACAATATCCAGCGCAGATTTACCGTTGAACACAGTTCTTTTTATTTCATTTTTTAAATTTATTTAAAAAAAAATAATAATAATTTTGGCATCTCCAATCCCACCTGAATCTGGAATGCCCTATTCGAGAACTATGTACAAGGCTTGCTCGTATGCGACCCCATGTTGCCGTCTTCGGGAGAGTGAGACAGTGTGCAGCTCTCCTCCAAAGCACGCGTCTGTTAGCTGCTGCTTCTTTACACTCATAGGTCGAAGCCTCACAAGTTCAGAATGAGGGTAGAGGATACCCAAATATGAGCAAGCTTAGAATCTTACTGATGAGCGCACGGTTGGCCAACAGGAGGTGCTTGAAGCAATAAACAAAGCAACTATTTTATTACCCAGTCCCGGCAGTCCCTTCCCAACTTGTTTTCCCTGCAAGGCAAAGCCAATTGTGCGTTGCTCTGAAAAAACTGCTGACCACTGCCGGTTGGTATGACCGGGGATCGAACCCGCGCCGTGGAGGTCACCACTGCTCCGCAATGCGGCGCCTTAACCAACTGAGCTAACCCGGCAGCTGAACACTGTTTTTTATTACAAAATATCAAAGGTAAGAAAAAATTTGTACTCATCGCTGCACAATGTAAAGTGTATGCCTGTTGTTCTGTAAGTGTGGTTCAAAATGACAAGGCTTATATCGTTGGATTCTGTAAACTTTCCTCTTCCATTTGATGTATCGTTTGTATGCCTAGCACTAATTCAGTAGAAATGCTAGCGATCGAGCGCTAATTTTATTTTATCCTACATTTTGCTGCATGGTTATTTACTTGCTTGGTGCTTGAATTGTGTTCGGTTGAGGTAAAAATGGTCATCATGAGCTTTTCGCCGAGTTTCTTCCTGTTAAGTGGATATGCCGCATGACGATGTTGCTATTTGGACACATGACTTAATTCAGGGATGTGATTTGGGTGAAGTGAAATTATTTGAAAATTTAGCCGGGGGCCCCCAGCTGGGTCCAAGGCAGCGCCCTGGTGGGGGGGCAAGGGGGACAAAGCCCCCCGAAGCTCCTGGGTTCTAGTGATTTTTACTGCCATAAGTGTACTAAGAATTCAATAAAATAATAAAAAAACAGAATTATTATCCAATGTACATTCAAGCCAACAAACATGCAATCTTTGATTTCTAGGTCAAGTCAAAATTAGTCACAAGCTCCAAGCTTTTAGAGAATTTAATCTGCCACTATTGCACTCAGATAAAAGTAAAATAACATTCATTAAATATAGCCAATATATCAATAAAATCATTGACTTCTTAGTCAACTCCAAAATCATATTACAAACTCACATGTTCATGGGATTTTATGAATTTAGACTTCCCTAAATGTACTGTGTAATAGCAAAAATGAACAAATGAGAAAATAATCACTGTAGATACACACCACCAATAAATCTTTTTTCTTAATCCAATCATCTATAGAAACCATCCCTGAGTTCTGTGAGTATTTTCAGCTTCCAATTACTGACTAAAAACACAATCCTGATGGAACTCCTGGAAATATGCATTACATATGCATTATATATGAACCTAATTAAGCCAAACGGCAACGGAAAACAGTGTCACTAACCAGCCACGTTCGGCTATATTCGGTGTCCAGTGACGCTCCATTTACACGAAAAAACAAAAGTGAAACTAAGAGGAAGGGCTCCTCATCGAAGTCCTGAAGCACCTTAAATTATACGACGCGATAGAGAAGTTGCGTGTCATAGTGGTATCGTTCGCTAATATTGCTAAAGGTCATGGATTAGCTGGGCAGCTGATGAAATAACCATGATTTAGCTTTGGAGCTAGACCCCCAGCTGCGTTAGCACTGATAACCCGTGTGTATGCTGGCCACAGTAACCAATTAATTCAGCATTCACCGAAGTCAAAATGTAGGGTGATAATGTTTCATATCAAAATGTGCGAGAGTGAGGTAGGAAAATAAAGGTCCATCAGGTTTGTCAGTAAGGTTATGTAATGCAATGTTTTGGTTTGACTGGCCATACTACCATTAATGGGAGCTGGCGAAGGTGCGTCAAAGAGATAAGACGAGCACCCGCTTGCACTCGCTGGGGGATACTGATAAACACTGAGCCAACCGCGCAACTTCCCAGCGGTGTACAGCAATTTGTCTCGACGAGGTACATAAAGGGACGCAGCAGTGTTCAGCCGTCGACCACTCACGCCGCTGAAACTTAGGCTACTAGACTGCTTCATCCTCGCTTCCACTGGCCTGGTGGGCTACACAAAATACAGGTATACTAACTATTAATTATTATTACTATACTATACTATACTACAAGCTATCTGTCGTCTCGAATATCCGCAATATCTCCGTCGTTTGTTTTCCGCAGTGTTGAAACTTGCCGCCGCGGCACCGCCCACACCCAAACAGCATGACATTTGACTGGAAGTGCCTTAGCTGGCTAATTTGAAAACGGAAGGTCTGTAGAACGCATCGTGCATATGGTCAATTCAGTTACGGAAATACTAAAAGTCGGAATGCTGTAGATACGAAATCGGATTTTCATGACTGAAAAAATCGGAGTTTTCATTTTTTCATTTTTGAAGATAAAAAAAAGCTGAATTCCGTGAATTAGCGGAAAAATCACATCCCTGTTATTTATGATGTTTATTGATTGCCCCTTGTACCGGGGGAGTTCGGGCTTAAGGGTTTAACCCTGTATTAAATTGAAAATTGAGCAAAGACAACAAATCAAATGTTGAAACTGAGAAATGTTATTCTTTTTGGAAAAACATCTGCTCATTTTAAATTTTGACGCCAGCAACACATTTCAAAAAAGTAGGGACAGGGGCTACAAAAGACTGGATGCCAAAAAAATGCACCTGATACAACATCTCACAGCAAAAAAAAGTTAATTGGCAACAGGTCAGTTACATGATTGGGATAAAAAGTCTTCCGACTTAAAAGATGGCAATGGCGTCACCACTCAGCAAAAAAGACTGCACGGGCAAATAGCTTGACAGTTTAAAAGTAATGTTTCTTAATGTAAAATTGCAAAGAATTTGGAGATTTCATCCTCTACAGTACATAATATTATCAAAAGATTCAGAGCATCCAGAGAAATCTCTGTACACAAGGGACAAGACCAAAAACCAATATTCAATTGCAATTGGCTTCACTGCCTGAACCCCTTTGCAGAATACACGTAATGCCAATTTTTCCTGTTATGCATGAGCCTATTTAGGCTTTATAACTCAGTATTTGTATCATAGAGACTCTGGAAATTTTTTCTAGTGAAGCAAGACATTGGGGTATTCAATTGCAGAATTATTTAGGAATTAAATTTTGGAATTTATGGACGCCTGAGTCTACATCCGTGCAAAGTGGTTAAAAACGGAAAAGATTCTGAAGTCAAAATCAGTGGATTGAATCAGGAACACTTCTTAAAAACCATTGCTAGCAAACGCCATTTGTTGCTGCATCCACAAACGCAAGTTAAAACTCTGCCATACAAATATTAAACCTAGATCCCGAATTGCTACTGCCTTCGCTGGGCCAGATTTAATTTAAGATGGACTGAGGCGAAGTGGGAAACTGTCGTGTAGTCTGACCAATCAAAAATGCAAAATTATTTTGGGAAATTATGGACGTCGCTTCCTCCAGGCTAAAGAGGACAGGGACCATCCAGCTTGTTATCAGTGCACAGTTCAAAAGCCAGCATTCATTGTAGCATGGGGGTGCATTATTCCACACAGCATGGGTAACTTGCACATCTGTGAAGACACCATTACTGCTAAAAAATATAAACAGGTTTTGAAGTTCCATAAACTGCCATCCAGACATCTGTGACGGAGAAGGACTTGCTTATTTCAGGAAAACAATCCCAAACACAATATTCTGCAAGTATTACAGCAACATAGCTCTGTAATAAAAGAGGCTGAGTGGTAGGCAGACCTGTCACCCACTAAAATATTTGGCGCATTATGAAAAAAAAAAATATGACAAAAGGAGTCTGCAAAGCGTTGATCAGCTTAAAGCCTATATCAAGCAAGAATAGGAAAATATTTTCCTTCCAAAACTATAGCAGTTGGTCACCTCAGTTCCCAAACGCTGCCAGAGAATTGTAAAAAGAAAAGGTGATGGAACAAAGAGGTAGACATCGCCCCGTCCCAACTGTCATAAAATTCAAAATGAGCAAATATTTTTCAAAAATCAATAAAATTTCTCAGTTTCAACATTTGATAAGTTGTCTTTGCACCATTTTCAATAAAGTATAGGGGCTTAATCATTTGCAAACCATTGCATTGTTTTATTAAGATTTTACACAGTGTCCCAACTTTACTGGAAATGGGGTTGTATTAGCCATTCTAACTGATGTAAATAACTTCATTTGACACAAGGTAAGATGTGAATAGTGAGAACTGAAAACAGTATTTTTTTTTCCTCAGGATAATAGCCTAAATTTGAACGCCATTAAAAAAAGCCATATCTTGCTAAATATTCAGGTAAACTCATTTACAAAAGAAGGAAATAAAAAGTAATTAGTTTGGCACTGCTTCATTGCTTACTTGGCAGTTATTCTGGTGAACGGTACCTATTCTGGCAAAAACAAAAGTTATGAACATTTATTCCGCCGCTTGTTTTCCGTGAGTGTTGAAACTTGCCGCCACACCGCCCACACCCAAACAGCATGACATTTGACTGGAAGTGCCTTAGCTGGCTAATTTGAAAACGGAAGGTCTGTAGAACGATCGTATATGGTCAATTCAGTTACGAAATACTAAAAGTCGGAATGCTGTAGATACGAAATCGGATTTTCATGACTGAAAAATCGGAGTTTTCATTTTTTCATTTTTGAAGATAAAAAAAGCTGAATTCGTGAATTAGCGGAAAAATCACATCCCTGTTATTTATGATGTTTATTGATTGCCCCTTGTACCGGGGGAGTTCGGGCTTAAGGGTTTAACCCTGTATTAAATTGAAAATTGAGCAAAGACAACAAATCAAATGTTGAAACTGAGAAATGTTATTCTTTTTGGAAAAACATCTGCTCATTTTAAATTTTTGACGCCAGCAACACATTTCAAAAAAAGTAGGGACAGGGGCTACAAAAGACTGATGCCAAAAAATGCACCTGATACAACATCTCACAGCAAAAAAAAGTTAATTGGCAACAGGTCAGTTACATGATTGGGATAAAAAGTCTTCCGACTTAAAGATGGCAATGGCGTCACCACTCAGCAAAAGACTGCACGGGCAAATAGCTTGACAGTTTAAAGTAATGTTTCTTAATGTAAAATTGCAAAGAATTTGGAGATTTCATCCTCTACAGTACATAATATTATCAAAAGATTCAGAGCATCCAGAGAAATCTCTGTACACAAGGGACAAGACCAAAAACCAATATTCAATTGCAATTGGCTTCACTGCCTGAACCCCTTTGCGCAGAATACACGTAATGCCAATTTTTCCTGTTATGCATGAGCCTATTTAGGCTTTATAACTCAGTATTTGTATCATAGAGACTCTGGAAATTTTTTCTAGTGAAGCAAGACATTGGGGTATTCAATT